TGGACTGGCCACGTTGTCCGGATGCCCGACCACTGTCTCCCAAAGCAGTTGCTCTACTCTGAACTCAAGAACAGAAAACAGAATGTTTGTGCGCAGGAAAAGAGATTTAAAGATGGGCTCAAAGCCAACCTTAAAAACTCTGAGAACACTGAGAACTGGGAAGCCTTGGCCCTTGAGTGCTCCAGCTGGAGGTCAGCTGTGACCAGCAGTGCTGTAGAATTTGAAGAGGCACGAATGGAGGGTGAAAGAGAGAAACATACCAAGAGAAAGGCATGTCAAGCTAACGCCGACTGGGACCGCCTTCCAGCTGGAAACCAAAGCCCTCACTGCGCGAGAACATGCAGGTCAAGAATAGGGTTCCACAGTTACCTACAGATCCACCGCCAGGATTGGAAGACAATCCTACTCAGACAACCAGGGATCACCTAAGTAAGTAGTAGCTGCCACTCTCTGTCCTCCACCAATTTTCTCTTCCTATCTTGCCTCAAATGAACTTTCCCTGTAGACTATTCTCCAAACTTGGCTTGGAGAAAGGAATATGTTATTTTTCAGAAGAACCACAGGGTTAGTTTTTTGGGTGTGTGTGTTGAAATAAAAAGGTACTAACTCCCTATGCAGTTTTTCCTATACAGATTCACTTCCTGCATTAGCTCATATTTTCCCTTTTAAGATATTTTGCCCATTGAAAGAAGAGAGACTCGCAAGCAGAACAAGCCTCCGGGACTTATTGGTATGCAGTTTCCAAGTTCCAGTTGCATTTACTGTATTTGCTATAAGCCTTAAAGTAGGGGGAAACTATACAAGGCTAATTCCTTACACTTCATTTGTAATCTTGTGATCTGAGATTTTCTTGAGGAAGGGGGAAGGGCAAGCAAAACTTGACCTAAAAGCACATTTAGCCTTAGCTGATTTTTTTTTGCTGTAAACAATAAGAGGTAAGGTATTTGAAAAGAATCCCAAGCATTAGACTTTGTTTTCACTGTCTCCCACTCCCAAGGAAAAAAAATTCTTATAACCAATAACAAGCCAGTGTGTTGTCCTTATGCACACCCTTGTTCTGCCCAAAGCAATGAACGGGAGTTTCAGTAAACAACCCTAACCTGCCCTTTTAACAACGCTCTCATTGGAGGAACTGTTTCTTACACAACAGATGCAACAGTTCAAAACTCCCATCTGGATGGCTGCAAATAACATTCCATTTCAGTTGAATATATAAAGCAGAGCTAAGGAACATTTGACCCCATTTGTTGTTGTTCATTCGTTCAGTCGTTTCCGACTCTTTGTGACCTCATGGACCAGCCTATGCCAGAGCTCCCTGCCAGCCGTCACCACTCCCAGCTCCTTCAAGGTCAATCCAGTCACTTCAAGGATGCCATCCTTCCATCTTGCCCTTAGTTGGCCCCTCTTCCTTTTTCCTTCCATTTCCCCCAGCATCATTGTCTTCTCATGATGTGGCCAAA